TGAAGCATATGGGTGTCCAAGTCATGCCATCACCAGATCAGTTCATTTTGGTAATACGTAGGTCCGAAGGACAGGGAGAATTGTGATCCTTGCAGAGCACATTGGATGGTCCAGGTGTGCAAGATTTCATAACTTTATAAATGGGACTTCATAAATTTCATAACTTTATAAATGGGGCGAGTGGAGAATTTGGTCTAGTATGCGAGCACAGGCTGCACTGATGGTTAGCTTTGTGCAACAACCAAAACAGATTAGTTGTGGCCAAAAATATGCATTTTTTTTTTCTCCAGCACAGCATTAAATCAGCTAGTTGCACAACATTAAATAAATTACTGTTGCTGTCAAAGTGCAACAAGGCAAAGATCTCATCTTTACAGAATCAGCTATGATATTGATCAAGAACTGGGGAGGGCAGGAAACGAGGGAATTGTACCATAGAAATACCACCTTCATGATTTCCCAGACCCCAGGGTTTCACACAGAACAAATCACACTCTTAGCAGTTCTGTTCAGTTCCATGCAGCTGTGTGCTGCAGGTGGTGCCCTAAAATATGTTTGTTTATTTTGCAGCACTGCAGGCTGCAAAGCTGCACTGAAGAATGAAAGAGATTCCCCTCCCTTGTGTTCTTCCTTCTTCATCCTGAACACTTCTCTCTTGTTAACTTGCTGGAAGAGGATGGTAAGATGTAGAGATGAAAGGATAGCAAAGTGGCTCAGTCTCAAAAGAACCAAATGGGAGGTATTGGTATGGAGCACAGAGTAAAAACTGACAAGTATGGTGTGTGACACTGAGATTTTGGTGGTGTACCACTGCTACCACTTCAGAAAGGCAACTACTGCAATAATTGAATGAAAAATTAGTGGAAGATCTTTAAAATAGGTTTCCATAAACACGAAAAAAAATTAGTACGTGAGCAAGAAGTAATGTACTGACATGGGAATGGCTAAAAGGCAGACATAACTGTATATTATATGGTCATTTTTTTATATCCGTGATACAAGGGTTGATTTAATGATAGATTTACTGACTACAGAGCCTGCAGTGTTCCACCAGCACTAACCAATGTATTAAGTGCTGTGTGTCATAGGACAAAGGAGCGGTTGTGGCTGCTTTGCAGACCCTACTATCACTGCGGGTTTCAGCCCTGATTTGCCTACATAAATGCTAAATATCAAATTAGGATAATCCCTGGTTTATGAAAAAAAAAATTATTCCATACTTTAGTTCTCAAATAATATTTCCATATTTCGAAAATTTTCTAAACCCTGAGTGTTCACGGGTCAAAATATAGAGACCACTAAACAGAATTTTCTGTTTCTTCTTCAGTGTGAGCTAAATTATCAATTTTGTCAATTTTTTTGTTTATTCTGAGCAAAACCCAGTCCTTGGGAGAAGCTAGCAAAAGATCTGTGCCTCATCACATCTGTCTCTTTTTAGTCTCTAACAGTGGTGTTATGCAATGAACAACATCACTCTGCACACTGCGAACTCTCCTGACCATTGGGTTCACTTAACATTCTAGTTAGTTGCTTTAAATACTGCTTTGTTTAAGCAGTAGGAGAAATGAAAAGTCTCCAAAATTTTACTCTTAAAAAGAACTAAAATGTATGTTGACTTGCACAGAATTACCAGCAGCATTAATATGGTTTGCAATCTGGTGTTGTTTGCTACTAGAACATATTCCTCTGGAGACAGGTGTTCTCTTGGAGACTGAGTACTCTGCATCTCCTCAGCAGAGTATCTGTCTGCAGTCCTTGAAATATTCCACAGCCCACCTTGAGATTTGATTTTTAGAATGTGTAAACCATGGGGGTTTTATTGCTTTTATATTAGCTGTCATACTTTTCCACTAAGTTATCCACAGCAAGTATCATGTCTATGAGAAGCCTAACCTTCTGTAGCTTACTGGCAAGCTGTATGAAATACAGTCAGTATAATGTTTTCAAAGACTAATAAGTGGTTCTCAGTGAATCTGAATGGCTTTTGAACTTTTTAGCAGTAGGCAGTAGAAAACATCCTTAAAAACATGCTGCAGTGCCACAAGCCTGTGAAAAAGCCAAGATCAACATTAGCTTGATCATTGTCATGAGCAGACGGAAATACAAATAGAAAGCAAGTAACCAATTTGTAGTTTGCAATTTATAGTGTTACAGTTAAAGTGCAAGATCCACTTAAGTGCCCATAAAAGAAAGTAGAAAGGGGAGATTAATTTCTTTCTACTAACTAGAGGTAAATCTGATCTAAGACTTGGGTTTGCTAAAAACTTGTTCGCTGAAAACTAAAAAATACCTGCTCTTCTAACTTTGTGTTATACGTCACTGAGTGGTGCCAGGTAATTCCTTTGTTTCTCACATTTAATATGATAGTGAATTTATGCTAGTGTTTCTGTTTCAAAAAGAACCCTTTGGTCACAACTGGAAATGTGAAAATGATGTAAAGCTGCAAACACTAAGTTTGGAAAATCTATAAAATCTATACTTATACTGTATAGCTCTTTATCTATAATAATCACACTTACAGTAACAAAAATGGAAATATAAACCCAGATGTAGTTGGCTATAGCTAGCATATTACCAATGCTTTATTGTTCCGAGCCAATACCCTGGCTTGCAAAGAATGACCTTATATAGGTACACAGCCCTATTTAGACATAGACACACAAAAAAACCTTGTTACATGAGGAACAGAATTGAGCTTCAACTATATATTCCCTGAGTTTCTTGTTCATTATTCATTACATACAAAAAGGTAGAAAAACAAGTCTGGATATCTCCTTTGGAGGGCTTGAGTATAGAAAGGTTCTACAGAGATATCTGGACAGGCTAGAGAAATGGGCTGAGGCCAGCTGTATGAGGTTCAACAAGGAAAAGTGCTGCACTTCGGTCACAATAACCCCATGCAATGCTACAGGCTTGGGGAAGAGTGTCTGAAAAGATGCCTGGTGGAAAGGGACCTGGGGGTGTTGGTCAACTGCTGGCTGAAGATGAGCCAGCAGTGTGCCGAGGTGACCAAGAAGGCCAACAGCATCCTGGCTTGTGTCAGAAATAGAGTAGGAATAGGGAATTGATTTTCCCTTGTGCTCAGCACTGGTGAGGTTGCTTCTTAAGTACAATGTTTGGTTTTGGGCCTCTCACTACAAGAAAGACACTGAGATGCTGGAGAGTGTCCAAAGAGGAGCAACAAAGCTGGTGAAAAATCTAAAGAACAAGTCTTATGAGGAGTGTTTGAGGGGACTGGGGTTGTTTAGCCTGGAGAAAGAAAAAATGCTCAGGGGAGACTTTGAAAGAGGGAGACCTGAAAGGAGGTTGTGATGAGGTGGGTGTCGATTTCTTCTCACAAGAGATAAGACAAGAGAAAATGGCCTCAAGTTACATCAGGGGAGGACTGGATACCAGGAAATATTCTTCAAAGGGGTTGTCAAGCACTGGAGCAGCTAAGCAAAGCAACTGAGTCATCATCCCTGAAGATATTTAAAAGATGTGTACATGTGGTGCTTAGGGACATGGTTTAGAGGTGGACTTGGCAGTGTTAGGTTTATGGTTGGACTCGATCTTAAAGGTCTTTCCTAATCTAAATGATTCCATGTTTCTACAAGTTAAGCTTGAGTGATTACAATTGCTTGTAAATAAAATTGTAAAGCTATTTTAATTTTATTTACTTATTCAAACTTATTTTGTTGCACTTTTCTCTTTGTCTTTTCTGCACCACCTGTAGCTGGTTCACTGCAATGTGAACCAGATGGAGAAAGGACTGCTTTTGTCTTTCAGACTTATCTAATGTATGCCTTGCTACCTTCTTGGTCAGGGTCCTTTTGCTCTGCTACAACACAGCAAGTTGAGGAGCATGGAGACCTGGGATGGCTCCACTGAAGGCAGGTAGCTCTACTTTCCAGTGAACCCCCCCAATGTATCAACACAGAGATATGCTGTCCTGACCCCACCTGGTACTTGACCTTTTACAGCTATGGTGGGGAACAGACAGATGGAAAAACTGCTCACTTTTGGGTAGTTCATGGCCACATTATATATTATGGACTGTCTAACCACCTTACAGGAATTTCTGAATCTAGCCAACCAAATTTCCTCTGTCAGAATGGTCCCTATTCGGACAAAACATTGGAATCTCTTGAACAAAAATTTTATATAGAGGGAGTCATGTACCCAGGCACTGGTCCAAATTTATAGGTACACTAGTAGATTTATTTGCTTCATATATATATATCTACCTGGGCATAACATGCATGTTTTATTAGAGCAAACATAAATATGCACATTTTCATTCAATGTAATTAATTCAGTGATTATGTAATCTTTTCACCTAGATCAGAGACAACACAAGGCAAAATGATTAGTTCAGGTAAATATTGTTGAAAAAGCTATCAGTTTTGCCCAAAGCAAGCTGTTTTTCTGCATTGTGACAGTGGATTCTTATCCTCTTAAAAGATTTAAGACTTCTGGTTTTGATTTTCATACAAGTACAACATTTTCTTCTTTTGGGAAGAACTTTTCCCGTTTTCCTCCAGTGCATCTTGATTAATATGGCTAAATACAAATTGTCCAGTTTTGAGTCCTGTGAACTATTTTTGAGTCAGTGTATTTATTTTTACTGCTGAAAATATCTCCTTCATTTTGTGTTTTCTTTTGTATTCAGTTTGGCTTTCATAGCAATAGCTTTAAGTTCTTATTATGTTACAATTTATAATCTATAGTGCAATTTGAATGTAACCTGCTATAAATGATTTGTGGCATGATCAATGGTCAAAATGAAGGCCAGAAAAACAGAGTGTGTCATGTCAGCACTTCTCACAACAATAAATATATAAGTTGGAGCTTTTTATGCACAGGTGTCTTGAACTAGCTGCAAGACAATAGAGTTTTATAACAAAACTAACACTTCGAGCCAGGGTATGTGAATGAATGCCATAACATTCTGCTGATGACGTGCTGCAAGAAGAACTCTAGAAAAGGTAGTGGAAGTGAAGCTATCTGCAAACACTTACTGCAAGGAAGATCTGAAGAGAACTGTGAGCCACTTCTATGTACTGATATTCAAGAAAACACCCCGAGACAGTGATATAGCGATGATCCTCTGGTGCCCAGTCTGGTGCTGGGGTTACTGAAGTCACGGTGCAGCCTGGCCCATTCTCCATCCACCAAGAGCGGTGCATTGAGATATTAAAGGTCAGAATGAGATCTGTTTCCTGCAAAAGAACAAGTGAAGTATTAATGTGCTGGGATGGTACTCAAATGCTTCAGCAAGAGATTTCACAGGATGCATTAAGAAGCAAAGAGCAGTGATAAAACTGCATGATCACTTGAAAGCTAGTGGAGACTTCCTGCAGCAAGCACAAGTTGCTGTACCTTGGCAGGCAGAATTGCTCTGGACAAGAAGAATCATCCTGCAACTCAGGATCTGTTCCTAGACATTATGGTAGCCTAGACTGTAGCAGTCATTTCTGTTACATTGTCCATTTTCCTATGGAAACCATAAGGACTGATGGACGTGCACATTTACACAGCTACCCTCCTCTGCTCAGTTCCTAGAAATACCGCCCATACTTTGGTAGTCTGATGTACCAAACTGTACAAGAGTCCTCAGGAGTGAAGACTTCTGAGACTTTAATATGTGTGGGTCATCTATAAGGTGTTTTGTATTATGGACCCTGTGAAGCAGAACTGTGGTAGCTCTGCTGAAAAACTGGAGAAGATGTAAAAAAAAAAAGGATTCTGTACATTTGCTTACAAGCAGAACCTCTTTGTAATGCCTCTCTCAGGTTTCTGAATTCCTAGGAGTCTGTAAGGACACATTGAGTGTTGTCTTGTCTAAAGACTGATTAGCTTGTCAAAGAGGAGGAACAGAGGCCTGCAACCTTTAACTCACATGCAGCTAGTGCAATGGAGTAACTAGTCAGCCATGCTTTCTATTAAGACTGCATTTATAAATAGTTCATAAAGGATTAATAAATGATTAATATACATCATAAACAATACTATGTATATGACTTTCATAAATTATACTTGGATGCACATTACTTGAGGGTGTTATACATAGTTATAACAAAACTATGGACTTTGTGGATTCTGTAATAGCCTACAGTGCTTGCCATCTCTTTATAAATAATTTATAAGTGTAACCTCATTGTAAAGTGTGACTATCTAGTCTGTGTGCACATGTGCTCTGTCATGCAAAATAAATTGCTTTTAAGCAATGTCTTTGCAAAGCCAAAGTCTTCCCGCTCCTAACATATATTTTCTTCAGCCTGTTGATGACATTAATAATTAAGATTCTCATAAAGATTTTAAAATGCAGCTATTTAATTATGTTACCATGCCAAAATGAATAGAGTGCCATTTTGTAGCAGATAATGTTGCGTCTACCTTTCTCTCACTTCAAAAATAGTAATTTTTTCAGTCCCACTTATTTTCCCTTTTTCCCTCAGCTTATGCAGAGGTAAATCCACCCAGAGAGGTTTTGAATCATGTCGTGACTGACACATCAATCGATCCGTGATTACACTTGACACTGTAGCATAGCAGAATGGGTTTTTTTAAGTTGCAGTTCTTGTCTAAAAGTGCAGAAATTTTGTACATTTAAAAAAAAAAAAAAAAATCAGTTACTACTCTGCATAAGCACACCCAGATATCAGATGGAAGGAAGGACCATAAATGTTTTTGAGATGAATAATTACCCTACATTCTCACAATCCAGCAGAAAAGAAGTAGTATGAGAAAACATATGATCCTTCACATGAATTTAGTCCTGCAACTAACTTCAAGCATTCGAAGGTGATTAAAGCAACAGTGTATAAACTATGCAAATTTCCCCAAAATAGTTATATTTACCTTTGCCTATAAGTCTTCACCTGCAACAAATCTTTCCTTTCTCTGGAGCTCTCCCTGCTAAAGCTGCAGATACTGGAAAGTGTCAGATGTTTCTTGGAAAAGAGCATTTTAACTTTACATCTAAACCAACATGCAATTTTTCTTTCTGGAGTGAGGGCTGTTGCAGCCCCTCGGTAGCACACTGGCCTCACCTGGTGTAAGAAGTTAAAGAATGGGAATCTTCGTAGTAATGTTGCTGAAAGTAATAGATTTATTTGTGAATGACTAAAACTGGAATCCATGTAACTGTCAGAAGACCTTTAAGCCATTCTAGTTAACATGTAGTTACCATGGAAAATTCTGAACCTCTAGTCTATTATCAGAGACACAGCATGAATGAATAGGACTCATTGTCTGGCTCAATTTTATAGTTTGCAATACCTTCAGAAGAATCGTGATGGACTAAAAATATTATACAAAGTGCATACAAGGGCTGAAAAATGTATTCCTTGAAAAAGAAAGGGATAAACAGGCTTGCAGGAACTAAATATTTGGTATGCGTCTGCCAGATGACGTTAAAACAGACAAGGAGGAGCTAAACATAGAAGTCAAAACTAGACTCTAGTTAGGACATCATTGCTCTACAGACAGTTATGTTTACTTATGAAAGGTACAGTAATCCACAACTTGACAGGTTAAAAGCACCAGTAAATTTCCAAGTTACACAGGAAATATGATCACACATTAAAATATTTAAATTATCTATGTAAATAAAACATCACGAAGTCTAGCTTTCTTCCATCTCTGAATTTATCTTCAGATGATTTTCTGAAACACTTTGCTATATTTATAAAATTCCCTTGCTCTCAAATAGTTTTTTGGAGTTGAATTGAATGCTGTGATTAGGACTAAATATTGTTTTGTTCAAGAAGAGTCTTTTAGTGCATACCAGTAAAAAAATGACAGATCTTTATCAGACCTATATTCTATTTCTATCTCTGAATAATCAGCAAAATACTGTTGTTTACTCTGCTCACAAAACAGCCCTGATACCTGCCACAGAAGTGTTATATTCCTTAATTTTTTATAATAGTAAAACCAAATAAGCCCTACTGAGAGGCCCAAATTCAGATTTTAAAGAACTTTGAATGTGCTTAAGAAGGCTTTCCAGGAGGATAGCTATTACATATTGAAACAATTAACAAACAAAATTACCTTCATACTGAAAAACAGTAAGTAGACATGAAATCTGGTTCTGGTAAGATTAGACATCTTTTCTGGTTCAGCTCAAACTTGGCCGGAATAAGAATAATAATGAAATCAGATTTTGACAATCTACCATGAAAGTTACACCCTATAAATTCTAATCCTCAAAATATGGGGGGAAAGAATAATATAGAAGGAGCCTATTCTTTACAAAGTCAGCTGTTGCACAGTTAAATCTTCACAGGTGTAAATTTTTATGGGCTTTGAGCTTGCCTGTAACTTTCAAACCATGTCCCCATATAGGCAAACATATTAACAAAGCAGTTCCTGTTGCTTAGTAGTGAAATCACCCACTTTACAAAAAACGTTTAACTTCTTTGTGAGAAAACTGTTAAAGACTTGAATCTTCTAGTAGAACTGTGCAAGCCAAAGAGGGGAGGATCTATCTATCATTAACAGCTCTTATACTGGAAAAATTTGGAGCTATTTCTGGACAAACTCTGCTTGCTATTTACTTTGTTCATTGCTTGAATACAGTTTTAGTGGTCATAGACATTCCCCACTGGAAGCAGGGGATTTGTTGTTCTCTCTAGTGTACTTGCTGACTGTTCTCTTTCCAACATCTGTGTCTCAAACATTGTCCAGGGAAATGCAGAGAAATGGTTTGATAAACCTTGAAGCTGTGAAACCTAACAAGAACTGTTGATACGCATTGGGCTTGCCAATATAGTGTTGTTCACAGTCTGTATGTCATGGAAGATTTCATTTTTCTAAATTCAACAAACAGCTGCTTCCTTCAAGGACACAGAAATACATCTCTATGAGCTGTATTGATGATCACTGTGCTGTTTTTGTAGGTCCTATTGGTTGTTAATGAAAATTTGTTCATTAAAGTAGATTTTGCTATTTATCAAGGGGAGGAAAACGGTGGAAACTATTTAGTAGGATATGTGCTGGTATTTGTAGTGGTCAGGTGAAATAATGCTGGATTAGACAAAGGCTAAAGTTTGTAGATCTCAGAGACTCAAGTCTCAGAGATTAGAATCTGAGACGTCTTCAAATTAAGTCTGTAATTTTTCACCTTAGTTTGACAAATGTTGAGCTCTGAAGGTTTTGTGCCTGTGTTTAATATGGTAGATAACTTTCACTGGGGTTAACTTCACAGTACATAACATTTTCTGGCTGAGGACAGCTGATGACAGAACATGGCAGCAGAAAGCTTTGTAAGAGCTGCCAGGAATAAATACAACCTTCTCTGCATTAAGAAGCAGCAGAAGGACAGCAGTGCTCAAAATGAAGATAGCTCTGTACGTATTGTATTACTACTAGAACATATTAGGTAAATATACTATCTCTGTTTAGTAATTACAATATACTATTCTTTCAATAATTTTTATTGGGTACAGTAAGAGAAGCTGATCCCAAACACAGTGCCAAGAGGAAAAGGAGGCAGCAATGATTCAGAGTGATTCTCTTTGAAAGTCCAGGAGATCTCACAGGCTTAGGGAAATTAAATTCTATTAACTACAATGGTTGTGGCTTGCTGTGTCATGGGAAATAAGTTTCTTCCATTTTTCTAATTAGGAATCGCTGAAATCTGTGCAAACCTGCCAAGCTTTCGTACAAGTTTTGTCAAATACAACCATGTAACTACTTGTTGAATTTTTCAAACTCAAACTAGCAAGAACAGGCTGTTTGGAGACTGAACGATCACACAAGGCTTCAGTGATAAAAGATCAGGCTCTGAAAGCATTTATAGTTCCAAATGCCTCAGATGCACAAAGGCCTCTACAGGCAATTTTGTCTTCTGTTATCTCACTTTTCCACTAAAACGACCTCCCATCAGGCAGTACAGTTTTCTCATGCAAGCAGACCTTTTCCTGTCTAAAGAAAAAGCTGCCTTCACTGAAGGGCCAAACTAGAGCTTGGCAGCTTTGTTTCTTTTCATCTTTTTTTTTTTTTTTTAATCTACAATTGATATACAGGAAGCAACTTCTGTGTAATTTCGTAGGGGTCATGGATATTTAAATTCCTGATCTTTTTTATTCTTTTGCATCTGAACTGATTTGTAGCCCCCTCCACTTTTTTTTTGATATGTGTGATGGTTTCCCTTTCATTTGAATATTCAAGTAGAAAATTTCTGTTTCTATTGGAAGGTTAAAATGAGTAT